TTTTTTGGCAGGCCATGGTACACACCCAGTATTCTTAACCAAGGTCACAGTTCAAAGGTTCCATTCTTCATTGTCCAAAATTAGCATGCATATGAAATAACCATGGCACATTTTAGCCTAACTAATATCCCTGTTCCTTAGCACTTTAAAGAGGTCTTTGGCAGCAAATTATGCTTTCCGCACTTGTAAGAAAAAACTGATTCAACCAACTTGACAAAATTTCATAGTATTGTAGGGGATTGGAGAAAAAAAATGCAAAAAAATAAAGATAAAGCAATAATGAGTGAAAATTGTTAAATTTTTACTATTTTAACAAAATCGTAACTATTTTATTAAGACTGGATTTATGCTAATTATAAATGTACAACTTTGATGTCAATGACTGTGGAAAAATAGTAATTAAATGCCTAAATCAGATCCTAAAAAGGCATTTTAAAGTGTCATTCTGATATTCTACCTCCCTCTAGTGATCAGCATGTTCAATTACATTTAGCTTTTTTTTCTAACACAGTTGATTACTTAAGAAAATCTCAGGATACTTGGTTGTACCCATGTAGAATCTATCCTTAGACCAAGAAACTGTTGTCTGGACACAGCAGAAGAACACTACATGGTTTAAAATAAAGAAAAATATATACCAGGCTTCTTTACTTTCTTCATACCTATTCAATCTGGATGTTGAGCAAGCCATTTAAAAAGTTGAACTTTCTGAAGAACGTGACATCAAGATCAGAGGAAGACTCATTAAGCAGATGGCACAACTTTGCTTGCTGAAAGTGAGGGGGACTTGATATTCTTGCTTTAGAAATGCAAAAACTACAGTCTTCAATGTGGATTGCATCTCAACATCAAGAAGACAAGAATCTTTACCCTGGAGCCAATAGACAACATCGTAACATACTGAGAGTAGAGAGAAATTTTCAATGCTTCTGTCTTGCTTGGTTCCACAATCAGCACCCTTGGTACCAGCAGACAGGAAATCGAATGACATTGCATTGGAAAAATCTAGTGTCAGTGACTTCTTCAAAGTGCTGAAGAGCAACAATGTTGGTTTAAAGACTCAGGTATGCCTGATCCAAATCACAGTCTTTACAATTACTTACTGTGCACTTGTAAGTTTTTGAAAGTTTGACAAAGTATATCAGAGATGATGAGGATGGTGCAGGATAGGACAGGGTTCAGTCAGATCTATTGTTCATAGAGTTGCTATGATTTGTAGTCGAATTGATGGCACTTAACAGTAACAACAACAACAGTGGTAAGAAGTGCTGCCAATCTAAGGGAACCTGTTTTGAATTCACCAGTTGCTTTGAGGGAGAAATATGGATAATCTCCTCCTATGTCATTTACAATCTCTGAAAGCCTGCTGGAGGGTTAGTTGGGAGTCATTTCCAACTCCATGGTACATTATAGCAACATCAAATGGAGAAAAAGCAATTGAAAATTATCTGCTTATGTATCTACCATTATTCTCTCATAAATATAGATGTAAAAATTCTCAACAAAATCTTGGTCAATAGAATCCAACAGTCCATTAGAAAAATAATTCATCATGACCAAGTAGGATTCATAAGAGGTATGCAAGTCTGGTTCAACATAAGAAAAAGAATCTACTTAATTAATCACATTAAGCAAAGGATGAGAACCACATGATCCTAGCAATTGACACAGAAAGGCCTTTGACAAAATCCAACACCCCTTCCTAATTAAAACACTTAACAAGATAGGAATTGAAGGGAATTTTGTCCACATGGTGAAAAGTGTATGTACAAAACCAAGAGCCAACATTATTCTCAACGGAGAAAAACTAAAGGCATTCCCCCTGAGAACAGGAAGCAGATAAGGATGCCCACTTTCTCTACTGCTATTTAAAATGGAATTGGAAATACTTGCTAGGGCAGTATAACAAGAGAAGTAAATAAGAGGCACTGCAGATAGGCAAAGAGGTGGTAAAACTCTCCTGATATGCAGATGATATGCATACACAGAAAACCCCAAGGACTCAACAAAAAGCTGTTAGACCTAATAGA